GACTGTGCGAGTATTTATTTATAAGAGAGAATGATTCAAAAGTAGGTAGGTATACAAGTAAATAAGCACAACATGCGACGTGACGACTGTATGAGCGGTTATTTATAAATAATACGTACGCACGTTTTGTCAGATTCCCGACGTTATAATGTACCTGTGTATCCTCTTATTTTTTCATTTTTTTTTTACACTGTTGACATTTTTAACGCTATCATTAAAAAAAAAATTTAAAACAATTATAATAACAATATGTCGCAAATTCTATTCCATTGTTTTTCCGTAATATCCACGTGATCGTTATTATTATTGTGCCGTGTACGCCTCATAATATTTTAGATACCACAGTATGAATGTGAATAAAAAAGAATTATACTCACTGGCTCGGCATCAATAAAAGTGTATAAATATCCCGAAAATGGCCGGCATATTTATTGATCTGCGATATTTTAGTTTTGACCAATAAACCACTCTACGAAAAAAAAAAGCAATACTATTACATTATTCAATAGATATAAAGCTGAAATCGATAGAGAAATCTTACTAAATTTTTGTTCGTTATTTTCCAAAATATCCGAACGACACAGCTATGATTTCCTTTTCCATATACAAGCTCGATTGATTGTACATCTCAATTTTACAATCGAGCGACAATTAAAAACCGACGAGAAGGTTTTTTTCATAATTACATCTCTAGTTGGTACAATGAAACAATACATTTTTTTATTTATCTTGTGGTTTTCATAATAATTGAAAAAAATGAAATGGTTTTTTTTTTTTTTTTGTTAATCGGTTAGACATTATAATTTTGTAGAATACTTATACTGAAGTTTTCCAGGCGTGGTAAAATGTTCACAATATTTAGCTAATTCTTGAACTATTTATAGTTATTTGAATTTTTTTAAATTTTTAAGTGGATCAAATTTTTCTGGTTTAACGAAAATTCCCAAACATTTAACAATACGTTCAAGCGTAATTTAGTAGTTTTTTTTATATATATAAGTGTTTTAAGTTTACATTTGGTTGAAAATTGTAAAAATCACGACATTTCAAAACATGTTTGACGAACTTCGCTCAGAATCGTTTAGCAATGATTTATCGTTGCTTATACTGATATAAATTAAATAAATTTATGTATCCTAATTTGTCATATACAGCAATAACACACCCATCTTCAGTATCAGATCTTTTTTTTCTGACTGTACCGAAATGAGATTATTTACTTTACAATTTCCTGGTTCTGTTCGAAATCTAGAATAATCACAGTGTTTTTATGTAGATCAAAAAACTATTAAAACCACAACGGTATGGACGCGTACATATATGTACGATAAACTTCAATACATTTTGTCGGACGAGGACCCATACACATTTTTGGACGAGTTTCAAGTGCACAATTAATTGCATCGTAAAACATAAATAATATTACTAATAGAACACCGTATACACAGTGCCGTATCCTCATAATACGCATTTACTTCACTGCGCGTGTAGTTATCGTACCATCAATATTGTTAGGCACTCCGACACTGTGACGTTTAAAAACAAAATATAATAGTAATTTATAATAACGAATCGTTTGGAAAATTCAGATTGATAATATTACAATTTATTGTTATTCGAAAGCTTAGCGGTGTGCATTCGAGGTGTTATGATGTATCTGTAGGAGATGTGAAGGCTCCTATTGAAAACCTCTCGCCACCACACGAAATGTCATGAATGTATTACTTGACATACAAAAAATGAAAAAAAAAAAACAAACAAAAAAATAAAGTTTAATCAAATAAAATTATACAATAACTTAAAAGTGCCATTGGCAAATTAAGTATACGGTATAATTATTATTATGCGGGTTTTATACTGTACCGCTCTCAGTAATTAAAAATAAATATATAAATTTATATAGTAATAATTAATTGTTGAAACAAAATTCATTGAACGTTTTTACAATATTATTTTCGCGTTCAACAGAAAATAAGTATTATACAACTTCAGACCAACACAAACGGTGTACGAAAACTTTGAATACTTTAAATATTGGACAAACGGTTTGTTGGTCAGAGTTTATTTATTTATAATTTTACTAGTTGCTTAAAGTTTTTGTATACTGAAATAACGGGGAAAAGTAAAATAATGTATTAGATATTTATTTTTAGATTACTTCTCTGCACATCTTTTGTTCCAGTAGCGCATGTGTCTAGAAGGGATATTTCAAGCTCATAAGTCGTCTCGATTAGAGTTATTTATTTTTTATATACAAACTAATTATGACGGGATTTATAATCTTGCAGAAATATACTATTAACCAAGTTAAGCACAATTATTGCCATTGTCAATGTACCTACTTATAACGGTTTTTATTTTATCTTATAAATATTATAATACTGAAATTACATGACAATACAACTTCTATACTTTTAATTGAATTACAGAATTATCTCGGATGTTTTTTTGTATGGGAGGAATAGCAGAGACGTTACGCCCTTTTATGTAAGATCAATTTGGTTTACATAAAAAATGGCATAATTCCAGTTTATATTCAAGGTGCACAGTTTACATTTCGACTGCAAATCTTGTGCTCTCTACAGTCAACACACTATGTCTTGCTGCACGAGTGTCACACAACTAACAGTATGTAATGGAGTGATTGTTTGAAAAAAAAAAAATTGCTCATATTCCAATATAAATTTATATACTCAAATAAATTATTCATTATAGTGCATAATAATCACGATAAAATCAATTGTATCATATTATGATAATAATTAATAAATAATAATATTAAATTACTAGTTTAGAATGTCTTAAAAGATTATGATGTCGGGGGACCGGCATCACATTATTAAATGTGGAGCCTGGGCCGAAACCACTCTTATCCCTCTCCCCATAATCCAAACATAATCCGTTTTTCATGAGTTTAAACAAATATTCGATCTCACCATACTTCGAGAAATTAAATGTAAGTTTCAATTATAAATAACCGCTGCTCTGATGATAATATTTGTATAATAATTGAATAGTTTTATAAAATTACCAGACAGCTTCAATTTTCAAACCTTTTCAGTAAACAAAAAAAAATGTGTTAATAACATTGTATTCGTATTAGCTACACATTAGATCAGAATAAAAAATGATCAGTTTCACACAGTGGTAACGAACCTTGAGAAATTCATTATAGCAGTAATAAAATTGTTTAGGGCTCAGCATCAACTGTTTTGAACCTACTGGAAAATAAATTAATGAATATTCGCTCTTTTGAATCAAATTCTATCGCTATACACTCGAAATATATTGTTTGGTACTTTAATGTTTGTCTTTTTACACGGCGAAGTTGTCTTGCCTATTTGACCAGAATTGTCTAGAATTTATATTATTAACTTCCTTACGAATAATCGGATCGGTTACATTGCCGCACAGAAGAAAAGAGTATAATTTTCTGTGCGTCGGAATTTATAAAACCACAAATTTCGCCAAAAAGCGGAGCTGTCCGTTTGCTGCACTGCAAAACCCTTTAATTATTGTATCAGTTTAACCGACAGTGGTGGGCGTTGTTCAAAACAAAAATAAATTACAATATAATAAACTGTCATTTTCATACAAGTTTTACGTACGTATTCAAAGCTTGGCATCGTCGGTATTTTTTTTTGTGACATGGTGGAATTATTACAGTTAAATCCTAATGAAAAACCGTTGGCAGTATTCCATCATTATAATATTATTGTCGCACCGCTATGTTATTATTATTATTATACTATTTTTTACGATTATTGTACTCGTACAATTATCAACCAGGCGGTCGATTTTTTTTTTTTTTTAAGGATCGTACACAGCTACGGTAGACGAATCCGATCCGCGAAAATGTTTACCTGATAATAATCGTTTGAACGCGATCCGTAATCTGTACGAAAGAAAAAAAACACTACTCTTTAACAAAACGTATGCGCCGACGAGCTTACATGTATACTTATTAAACGCGTATTGTATTATACCGCAATTATTTATAGTACTTTACCGGTGCTCGTTGCTGTCGGTTATAAATTCGTATGTCGGGGTCTATTTTCGGACTACTCGGGCCGGCCGTCGGTCCGGCCGGCCGATGAGATTCGAATGTTCGATTTCATTAGGCGGCGGTTCCCGCGAGGCCCACCGACTGCCGAAAATCCGATCAGTCGTGTTTCCGGCACGTCGATCGGAACAACAATACATAATTATTGTCAGTATTCTCGTCGTAATAAACAAAAATTATTAAGAAAAAAAAATATTGAAACCGAGTCGGCAACTGCAAGTGGATAGACCGACCGATTGTACAATATTTTTTTTTTCCAAAATGGATTCGTGGCTTTCGGTGGACGTGACGACGGCCAACGTCTTGTCCAGGGACAATCGAGGATCCATCCGAGGAGTGAAAACGGTAAAGACACACATGCACACACATAGGCGTCGCACACATCACACCTATTGCTGATATAATATTATTATAATAATTTAACGAGAGAAACAAACAGTTGGAAAAAAAAAACAATAATAATAAATCACGGTTTTCGTGATGATGAGTTCTCAACGTTCCGTTGGCATGGGCACACTCTTGGCCGGCGTCGTGTATTTTTAGTGCACGCACACGAATAAAACCGATTTTTTTCCACTGGGAAACAGCACCGTACACCGTTTCCGAGGGTTTAGCCATAAAAATAACTTTTCGAACCAACTCCCACGACACCGATATTATACGTTAGGTGTATTTTACGAACCGAGGGACACGTATTCCGTATAGTTTCGCGTTACGCGCAGACCCGTCGCTCTTCTGCCGAAAACTGGGCGATTTTTCGTATAATATAATCGCAACACAAATAACCCGAAAACCGTATTACTATATAATATAATATACACTATCTGCGTTCTGTGTTCGTCTGTATTGTTTTCCTCACGCCGACCGCCGATTTTCTCTTTCCGCCAACGAGCGTTTCCCGAGGACATCGCCCGCGCCGCCGCATCCGCTGCACAATATGGACATAATATCGTCAGACGTCAGTAACAGTAAACCGTGGTTAAAAAAAAAAAACCAATCTAACCATCATAACACGTCTGCCCGTATTATCGTAGGTTTGGGGGCAGTTAGCGTTAGAGGCTTCCCAGGTGTATATCGACGACGGTACAGGAGGACCGGCCAAGAGCCCGTATGCCGGAACGGTAAGACACCCTATTATGTATATATATATATATGTACGTATATATTAAAGATCATAATATATTATATAATATTTAATATATATTTGAAACAAAAAAAAAATTGATTCAGGAGAGTTGTTAAAAATTCAATTGAAAAATCGGGTAAACTCGAGTTACACACTCCGCCTCCCTCCAAAAAAAAATATCATTTTTAAATTTACAATATAATATATAGTACATATAATACAGTTCAAAACTCAGAAGTTTAAATAGTTTTCGCTCGGCTAAAATACAAATTAAACGATTCCAAAAATGTTTTTAAATTGTACATTCTATATAATATTATATTGTTATTGTTACGCGAAGAAACTGCAGATTTAAACAAATATTCGAAAAACACAGTAGATTTTCTTATAAATTTGATATGATATATATTTAAAAAAAAATATATAAACACGTGTAGATTTTTGTCTAACTTGTAATTTTTGTTTAACCGTATAATTTGTTTGATTGATTGGTATGTAAAAATGATGGCACTGCATGCGGCAGATATTAATAAATAAAAACGTCTTCAGTTTATTTTCATTTGGTCTGTTTCAATATAATTTGCATGTATATTCTACATTTCTATTTAGTGAACTAAAATCACAACTCACAAATTTAGGAACTCCTAACTTTTTGTCGAAAATTATTCTGGGCAAAACGTATGTAAATTAGCCGGCAGCCCGCTATTTCGAGCACAATTAGTGTAAATATATTCAACAGCAATTCGTAGACGCTATTCGTGTGCATCGCCAACAAAATAAAAAGAAATTATTTAATCCAAGAACAAAACCATAACGATCATCGCTGTACTAAAAAAAAAAATAGTCTTAAAAATACGTGTATTATTTTATTAGCAGGGTTCGGAAGTTATAAGACTTATACAAAGCCAAAATATGTATGCAAATATACATGAAAAAAATTCTAAAATAGGCATGGAAAAATGTTAAAAATGTAATAAATATGCAAAAAATTACTCAGTTTATTATTCAAAAACATATATCATTAGTAATACGCACAAAAAAAAATAAATATTAAATACTAGTCGTTTTCGTTAAATTAATAATAATAATAATAATAGACTACGACAGTAAGAAATAACAATAAATAACATTGAGTTTTAAATTTAATATTATTTAAAAAAAATTGGTTAAGAATGAAAAAAATTAAATATGCATAAAAATATGGCAATGAAAATCAACAAAATACGCACTTTTTCTCTAGCGAAATATGCATTTTAAATATTCAATTTTTAAATTCTCCATCGTATAGAAAGTGTTTCTAGCTTTGTCTGCTATAAATTCAGTGCATACAGAAAAATATGCAACTCCTATAACTTCCAAGTCCTAATTATTAGGATAGATGGTAGCTTAAACATAGTGTAATAAATTTTGTGTTGACAATATACTAACCGCGCACCTTAAGCACACAACTCGCATTAAAATTACTTAATTAATATTTACAGTATACGTGTTTTCAATTGAAGAATCACGATAACTCGTGAGTGAAAACTGAATATTAAACATGTTATGTACGAGCGTACTTAGTTGTATTGGGTTCCTGTCAAACAATTAAATTATATTTTATCTAACAAATTACGTACGTTTAATAGCATATTTTACGTTATATTTATCTGCGAGTATAAAAATCCAATATTCAAATATTTCGAACACAAATATACACTCAAAGAAAATGCCCGGTAAAAGTTAAGTCCCGATTTGTATGTAATATAAAAGAGTTAAATTTCAAATTACATATTGTACAGACGATCGAAAAAATGCCGGACAGAGTGTTGCTCAACATATTTTCGTATTTGAGCCACAAACAAATATGCAGCATGTCGAGAGTGTGCAAGAAATGGCGTACGATCGCTTACAACACCTCTCTGTGGCAAACCGTGTCGCTAAGACCAGAAATATCCGGACTTCACGTCACGTCGCTAGAGTTTTTGCTGTCTCTGATAAAGTAGGTATCTACCTATATTCAAATAATAATAATTACTATTTGGCACAATATTAATATCCCGGTGTTCGATTTGCCCACTCATCAACTTTGTTTCTCCACTCGTAGCATGAGATTCGGCCCTTCGTTGCGATACATCGAACTACCCATCGAGCTCATTACGCACACGGTTCTTCACGAACTGGCCAACAGGTGTCCCAATCTGACCCACATGCTACTAGACTTTTCCACCGCCATGCAATTGCACGATTTCAGCGAACTTCAAGCCTTTCCCACCAAGTTGAAGTACCTGTGCGTGTGCCTGTCCGAGGTGATTTTCATGGAAGGTTTTATGCGAAAAATCTACAATTTCATCAACGGATTGGAAATATTGCATTTGATAGGTAAGCGAAAATGTTATGTCGCAGTCGTATTAGAAATTATTGCACTGAATGATTTGATTTCTGTATTCGTTTTTTTCCTATAGGTACTTACGAAAAAGTCGAAGAAGAAGAGGAGGAAATCTACGAAGTGATAAACGTGCACAAACTAAAATCGGCCACGCCCAATTTGAGGGTAATCAACTTGTACGGAATTAATTTCGTTGACGACAGTCATATCGATGCGTTCAGCTCCAATTGTATACAACTCGAGTGTCTGGCCGTAAATTATTGTTCAAAGGTCACGGGATCTACAATGAAAACGTTATTCCAGAGGAGCAAACGACTAAAATGCGTGTTAATGAATCAAACGAGTAATATATATTAATCGATCGATTATAATACTATACTATTTACTATTACATCACAAATTATACATTCGTTTTAGATCTCATAAGCGAGTACTTGATGCAGGTGGAATGGGAAAAATCGTCGATTCAAGAATTGGACATAACCGGCACCGACCTCTCCACTGAGTGTCTGATCGACATGTTGGTCCGGATACCCAATTTGAAGTTCCTGAGCGCCGGCCAATTGAACGGTTTCAACGACACTGTGTTGAGTGCGTTCATGGAACAGGGAAATGTCAGAAATCTAATCGCACTGAATTTGGACTACTCGGACAACCTGTCGGACGAGGGACTCTATAAATTTTTGTCCCGGTACGGCCATCAGCTACAGGGACTTTCATTGGCGGGCATGCCGCACATTACCGACCAGTTGTGGAACACGGTACTGCCGGTTCTCAACAACATCATGTAAGTGTAGTTGGAATAATATAATTTTTTTTACAAAGAAAACAGTTCGTATTTAGTTAAATGTCAAACTTTTTAATGTAATAACCGCATTACAATAATGCCATATTTTATTATTAACCACGGTTATAGCAGAGTATTAACCCAACATTTGTCAGTATAAGCTGACTTGCCAGTTTTTTTTTCTGTAGGCTTAAACTTCTGGCGCTCATTACTTTTGACTAATCTGGTTTATCATCAGTTCTATTGCACAAAGGATACAGTACATTAATATAAATTGTTTGATACCAATATTATCATTTTGAAAATAAGTGACTTTTTGGTTTTTTTCCTGTACCCTTTATATATATATATATATGTATTATATTATTTTATTAGCATACTTAAGTTAGCACTTTCTAAAATAAGTGATAGAATTTTCGAAAATTCGTTTTCACGGTTTTTTTTATTTTTAGTATTAGAAGTTCAATAGTGCGATAAAATTAATTAAAAACTTGAACAAATTTTAGTGCTATTACAAATTAAAAAAAAAAAAATATCTATATAAATTTGTCAAAATAAATTTACCTGAGATCGATCAGAATCGTTTTTCGTTCATAACGACTTATCATGTGTAATATGCTTACAGTAAATGTATAAGTTAAATTACTCTATTTCAAGTTAATTTTTTAAAAGAATAAATTGGTAGTCTACTTTTATATAATTTTAACTTCAAAGGAAATAATAAAAATAAGTCAATCAATAAACCGTTATTATTTGAATTTTTAATACTGTTTATATACTTTAAATAACACAAGTATAACAAATTAGATAAAATGATCAGGTCATTAGGCCATAATTTGGTTCAAGTTATCTGAAAAATTCCCATTTCCTGACCGGCCACTTTGACTGCCCCTGCAACTACGGATGATATCTAATATAAATTATTATAATCGAAAATTACAAATTGAATTGTCTTAACTTCAGAATTATGGTGATGGGTACTCAAGAGAGATTATCCGGTAACGTGCTCGTGGATCAGCTCATGGACGGCATAGCTACCAATTGCCCACGGTTGGAAAGACTAGAATTAAAATGGGATCCGGATAATTTACGATTTTCCGATAAAAGTCAAAAAGCTATAGACATTTTCCGAGTCAAGTGTCTGAAACTAAAATGTTTAGTTTTAAGGTAAAACAACAGTGAATTTATCCTATAACTAATAAGTATTGCGCAATGACAACAAAAACAAATATTTGTATTTTGATTATGCCTAACAATATTATGTACCTATACTATATTATTATGCGCTTTACGCATGACGGTCTTGATGTTTTTGTTTTCTTTTACACAGCGACGGAAGGTATTATGAAATAGTGAAAGCAAACTTCGAAAGGGCCGATCGACTAACCGTGGTCAGAACCACCACTTGTTGTAGCGTCTCCAATTATTACCTACTGCAGAATTACAAAGATTTAATATTCAATTGATTCCTGGTCGTCATGGCGTCTAAAAATACAAAATCAATTGATTAACTGTAAATATACTCTTGTTTGTGATGTTTATTATTGTAATAAAAACATATTGTAATAAGTATAATAATGTCCGTTGCACTCGTTGAAAATAAAATATAATACATAATAAGTATAACAATATTGACCTTCGTGATAATTACGTAAGAGAAAGCAAACCACTATGCTTTCACTTCTATCCCCGGAACAAGTTTCGGAGAAAGTATTGTTTAAAAGAAGGAAGTGTTTATCATTTAAATTCAATTGTACCGAATCACACGGCTCAACTGGACTACCGCACCGTCGTCAGTTTTGGTTAGTTTTGTTTTACTGTATTTTTCGTCCGGGGTTTTATTTTTCGTACAAAAATGTATATCAAATACGAAAACGTAGAAGACAAATTCGCCCAACGATTGGACGATATGTTTGGTCTAAAAGGCTGTTTGATCGAAGTAAACCCCGGGAAATGTATACTTCCACCAAAGTACAAGGATTTGGGCCAGAGAATTCTAAACATGGAGGTCAGACCCGACGATGTATGGCTTGTATCGTATCCAAGAACAGGTAATAATACTTTTTTACAGTAATCACTTGTATTACTTCCGGCCGCCATTCCGTGAAATTCTAAACGAAACGGTATTTTTAAATATATACACGCGTAGTAATGTCTGTTCCGTTGACAAATACTTGGACATTATTCACGTACAATAAATTCGTTATTAATGAAATCTATTATATTATATAGGAAGTACTTGGGCTCAAGAAATGGTATGGTGTATTTGCAACGATTTAGATTTTGTAAAAGCCAAGAGTATGATCGGACAATTAAGAACGCCGTTACTAGAGTAAGAAAGTTGCTTAAAAATTAATAAATAATTAATATTAATATTATTTAACGTGACTCATAGTTTTAAACTACGTATTTTAAAATATCTTTTTTGTCTGTAACCCATCCACGTTCTATTATTTTCGATTGACAATTTTAATTTATTATTATTAAATATTATTACAATATTGCTTTATAATTATAATATTTAATACAGATACGTATCTCGAATATTAATGTAACATCCAACGAATTATACTTTCGTTGCCCGAGGAGAAATATTAATTTATATTTCCTATAAAAAAAAATTAAATTAAATTTGAAAACAGTTTAATTTTTAAAAGTATTCGAATTCAATAATGCCCGAAGAACTGACCAATTTCAAATGCCTTTAATTGTCCTAAGCTATTTATTAGCTAATTTATCATTTTAAGTGTTGGGCTTAAAATTTATGGCGTAGGAAGTTATTTTGTTCAAAAATGAAAACGATAACTATAGTAATTAGAACTCGGAACAGTATGCGTTTGCATATTTTATATTTATTACATTGAAAATTAGCTAGGTAAGACAAGTTTGAATCTTAGCCTAATATGTTGGTATTCACAATTTGATTTTGCATATTTTTCCATATTCGGAACATTTTTGATTATTATGAATATTGGGAAAACAAATAGTATTAAGTTAATAATACTAATATCAAATAACTAAGGATATATTCAAATTTCGATTATTTTTAAATTTGTATTTATCAATAACATCGACTTATTGGCCTATCGGCCAATTTTAATTTAATTTTTGTACGACCGTACTTAGCGATAATGTGTTTGTGTTTCATATGTTTCATAACATTGTAAAATTGTCTGTTTGTAAATTTAGAAAAAATATTTGAGTACAACTTTTTAATGAACTTTTTTTGGAATATAAATTATTTTATCAATATTTTACATTTTTTAAACTAAATAAATTTCACTAACATGAATATATTTCTTGGAATATTTGAGTGAAAATAAGTGCATAAATGCATGCACATTTCGTATGTTTTTAATAAATATTATAATAATGCAGGCTCTAACTATATAATTAATAAATCATTTGAGAAACACAATGTCCCATGTAGAACGCTGGATTTTACTTATCTCGTAGTTTTTCTTTCGGTTTTCCACGATTCGGTTTCCTTGCGTCGAATAATCACTGTGGAATTTATAATTGTGATGCATTTAACTATTGATCCGTGTTCATCTACGTTTCTATACATTTGTTGTCCGTGTAACTATCAGCATGTTGAATGTCTCGGGAAATAATGTGAAACTAACAACATATAAGTAATAATAAATAGTTCCTTAATATTGCTTCGTTAAGAATAATATAAGTATCTATCAATGTAGTTTTTATTTTTCAAGGTTATTATAAACATAATAATGTATTTTTAATAGTCATAACCTACGCCTGGAAGGCTATTTTATGTGCATTCTAAAAAAAAGTACTTAATCATCTTCTAAACCTTAAAATAATATTTTATATATTAGTTATTTCAAAGTCGATTATTATACTGTATATGCCTAAATTAACTCTCGTTTTACACAGGTTAACGGCTCTTATGGGAAACGATACGAGCAAGCTTAAAGATGAACTAGGCAACTCGGTTGATCAAGTGGAAAACATGCCGTCGCCCAGATTCATAAAAACGCATTTGCCCATTACGCTGTTGCCCGAGCAGCTCAAAGAAGTGAAACCGAAAATCGTCTACGTAACGCGCAACCCAAAAGACATGTGCGTGTCATATTATCATTATTGCAAACTGATACATGGTCTGCATGGTTCGTTCGACGAGTTTTGTGATTTGTTCATCCAGGGCAAGACACCCATCGGCCCCATTTGGGATCACATACTCAGGTTTTGGGAACAGAGGGACGAACCGAACTTGCTGTTTTTGAAATACGAGGACATGAAAAAGGTATCGTATGATAATTAGTCATACATATTATATAAAAGACGAATTATAATTATTTAATCGATACATATTGTCTATATATAATATTATATACCTATGATTTCTGTACAATTCGATCAGGACCTGAAAGGAGCTATTAGACAAGTGTCAACATTCCTGGGCAAATTCCTGACGGACGAACAGGTATCCGCGCTCGAAGACCACTTGAGTTTCAACAGTATGAAAAAGAATCCGGCTCTTAATTTGGAACCGATTCTCGCCATAATGGAGAAACCCACCCTGACCGAAACGAATCCAGACGAAACGTTCATCAGGAAGGGCAAAGTCGGAGACTGGAAGAATTACATGTCGGAAGAACTGTCGGAAAAATTCGACAAGTTCACGGAGGAAAATCTGAAAGGAACCGATCTCGTTTTCGAGACCAATTAATGTTATTATATGACATTATTCTGAAATCGTTTCGTTACTCATCTCTATTTAAATGTGTATCTAGATAATAAGACTATTAATTGTTAAACATGTACAAATATTTTATAAACACCGATTGGAAATATAATAATTAATACATACATATCGTATTTAAAAAAATATTAGCTTTTTGTAATAATTATTAAATATAGGTACAATAGAAACGTAACTCGTATTTATGAATAATAAATTCAATTTTTTTTATAGGCGTATTATAATACTTAATATTCGGTTATTATAACTAATGAAATTGTAAACATAAACTAATTGAATCAACCAAATTAATGAACTTGTATTAGTGATTAATTAAAAAATAATATTTTATCTTGTTGATTTGTAGAAAAATATTCAAAACAATCACTTTCATAACAATCGAAATTTAGAATCATCATAAACAACGTTAATATTACATATTAATTATGCTACTATTGTTTTTCAATGAGGAAACCCCCTTATTTGAACCTAACTCATATTATACCAATAGGTGTTTTAATTAATTTTTTTTTTTTGAAGTGCAGGTGAACATGTTTTAGATTGTTTAAAATGAATAAATCGTATAGGTACGTATTAGAATATATTTTAAATTACAAAATGAAACCAACACAAATGTAATAATTAAACACTAATATTGTGTCACGGGCAAATGTCCTCATAGTATAAGTTAAGTTTTTTATTCAAACAGTTAACTATTATCAATAACGAATACAAGGTTTTAACGGTATTATCACAAAAATATATATATGTATAATAATAACTATTAATCACTAAACTGTCGTAGCCGATTACGGTTATTTTAATTGTAAGGTTTTATAATAATTTAAATATTTTTAACGAACGGAGGGGGCCGATAAATATGGTTAAAAATTTAAAATAAGTACGAGACCACAATTTTTATGTATAATATTGTATAGGTGAAGAAAACGGTACAAAATACTATAGTATTCTATTTTTATGGACGTATTTGTTAAACTAAAAACTATAATTGTAAAATTAACTAAATTATAGCAATAATAAATCGTTAACAACCCCGAAAAATGTATTTACACAAATTTTATGAGCCAACGAAATTACATTTTTTGAATTTGGCAATGAACATAACATCAAAAGAAATAAATTATTTTTTACAAATAAATATACCTAATAATTATAAAAAAAAAATATTTATTAGTTTTTTTTTTCAAATTATTACCAAAAATATAGTCCACGATCAGTAAAATATATGTTCATAGTTTTTCAAATAATAAATTATTATAAAAAAAAAAATTAATTTTTGGACATTCTTATATTTAGTTTTAAATTTGTATAATTTGTATATACCTATCTAATAACACAAAATTAATTATTTATTATTAATACTGAATCATAAACCATAAATTAATACTTGCTTGCATTATTATAGTTATCTAAAACCTAAAATTAAATAAGTAAAATAAATTCTCATTCAAACAGCAAGTTTTAACTTTTATTTATAAACAAATTATATTTTGTATTGGTCTACATTAACAATTCGTCAGAAAAGGGAAACTTAATTTTTAATATCGTACTTTATTTATTGATTTTGATCGAGTATCAAGGGATACACAGGGATCGTCACAAAAACTAACCTTCTAGAATTAATACGTATATAAGATAATTTAAGACCCTATCACCGCAAACAAATCAGTTATTTTAATTTATTAAAATTTCAATGTACTCGTCACCAAACATTTTTCTTCCCACTCGTCGAATATTTTCACAAACTCTGGTGACATTTTCTGTTTACCCCCGCCCACTGTACCGCTTCTCATAAAAGTCCCTTCGGCTTTGATTAAATTATGCGTTTTATTAATTTCGACAACCGGCTCGTAATTCACAGCCCTGTTGTTTTTCATACTCTCGAAACTTAAATGGTCTTCCAAAACCAACAACTGGTCGTCATCGATTTCTTTGTTCAAAAACCGAGCCGTTTGACGTATTACCGAACGTAAATCCTATGATATGGATAAAAAAACAACAGAATACACACTACATTTTAACTTTTCAAAAAAAAATACTACGCAAACTACATTTGATTTAATTGCCTACCTTTTTCATATCTTCGTACTTCAAAAAGAGTACATGTGGGTCGTCTCTTCGGTCCCAATAGCCGAATATGTGGTCGAAAAACGGACTGAAACAAACTTTTTATAATACAACGTGTTAGTTTTACAATTAAAATAGGTAGGGATAAAACAGAGGCGTAGAATACTCACGGGAATCAGAAACAAAGAGTTTACAAAAATCATCGAAATTCCCCGTGTACCCTTCTAACAAACAGCAATGGTGGAAATACGAGAGGCACGTGTCTTTGGCGTTTCTGGCCACGTATAATATCTATCAAAATCAATCTGGTTTTAATTCTAAAATTGCATAATACATCGCACTTAAAAACTATAAAAACGATATATGACGTAACCTATAATATTGAATGGTATATTCAATATTATATACCTATAATGTTGTCTTAAATTTTCACAAAGAGTAAATTAGTATTTTTCTAAATAAGACGGTTGTGTTTTGAACTAACTTCACGATAACACAATCAACACTTGTGATAAGGTCCGGGAACTTTTAAATATTTATACGAAAATTAATTTGACTATTTTCGAATCGATTAATTATGAAGCTGGCACGATAGGTGGGTCACTTTTGTAAGTGAGAAGTTGGGGTAGGTAGAAATTGAATGCATATCTGTACACAAAAATTAATCTTTGCTATTGAATAAGATTCTATTCTAAGCGGAGTTCAGATATACATGTTTCGAAAAGCTGTAATATTTACGATTTTAAAAATAATAAGTTTCGTAGATTTTCCCGGTTTTTCCCATTTATTATAATAAATACTTGGAAAATCAAAATACAAATGTCTTTATAAGCAACTAGATCCAAAATTTGACAAAAGAGGTGTCTGGTTATTTTTTGATTGAAACAAAATTGCCAGCATAAAACATAAGTTGCGAAAATGAAAAGAAGTTATATTTGAAAATTGAAACAAGTTTTCTGATATAAAAGTTGTTCACAGATAAAATAAAATAAAAAATATTATTGTAGAACCAATAAATTTCTCGCTTCGCTCAGAATCTAAAATTATACATTTGCTTAAATGTATATGGGCGACCCCTTAAATATTATTCTTATGGCTATCACTTATCTAACATTTTATTCTCCCATATTTTTCTTTTTAGTTTATAAACCGTAACAATTTTTTTTTTTTTTTTTTTTTTTACCAGATTTTAATATCTGCATATAATTCCACATACCCACTATAGTAGGTATTCATAATATTACTTATTATTAAAAACAAGTTACCCAATGATTATAGGAAGTGCGCCGTTAGCTAGTATAATCATTTCTGTATTATTATTATTATATAATTTTCTAATACGCTAATATCTTTTCCATGCAGCATCGCGTGTTATTTACATTAGAAATGCAAATGCAGATATATTCACTTGTATAATTTTATTGCTCTGTAAGGTGTTTTTTGTCAGCTAAGGTCATCGGCTATATATTTTTCCGTTGTGTATAGGGAAGTAATTTAGTACAACTAATAAAGCAGAATTCTAATTATTTATAAAATTCACGACTTAATATTGAAGTAAATGGAAAACATTTTAAATGATTATACTATACGAATATTTTATCTTATACCAAATATGTACTAAATCTTTGCTTCGCTTATACATAGAGGTATGTAGGTTGATTACTTTTACTACACATTTTCGTTAAAATATCGCTTCGTCTGCTTCACATATAAATTCAAAATCTACTGTTTAATACTATATCGACTTAACGGACGGTAATCATCAAATTACGTTACTATCTGTTCTGGTGTTTTCTATCTGTAACAGTTTTATACCACTGTAACCCGGTCCGATGTTTTGTATTTATGTTATACGTTGTCTACCTATATCACGTCCTCTCACACCCTCAAAATTTCCTTGAATAATTAGACTGAGTATATTTTATTTATCGTCTCACATTATATGTTCAAAGCAAACTAGTTTGCGTATTTTCAGCATGCTTGTAGTTTTTGTTTCTTTCCCTACCTAGATATTCGATCTAAAACATTTTGTGTTTTTTACATACAAGTAATAAGTAATATATTGGTAATAAGTCCACAATATTCTCAGTATTCGTCGGTAGCACCTCGAATATTAGATTCAGAATATCACGTATATTTTATTCTGTATTATTTTGGAGAATTCGTTAGCACGTTTTTATATTAATGGTAATTTTTTTAAAATGTATAAAAAACTATTTTTATCATAGTGGAAGTGTTTTTTTGGCGATTAATCTCACGTTTCTTTTTAGCTTAATTTAAACTAGTAGGCAGTTTCCATAATTTTGAATAAAAAATCGTAGGTCATCGTTAAAGCATTTTTCATATTTTTTTTTTAAATTATTATTCAGGTCAGTGGCGCTGAACTTTCTTTAATGGGTGGATGGTGGTGGATTCATGATGGGTACCTGAGCCATATTTTTTATCGAATTACTACGTATGAAATATTAATTAAGAATATTATATGAGAGTTTGTTTTGTAAACGAGGGTGGTGGTCTATACAACTTTTGACCTGTCCACCTTCTTAAAACACGGTTCGACGCCACTGAATTAGCCTATCATATTTCTACCCTTGAATGATGTTTAGTTCAACGTTCTTAATTGGTATTACTTTAGCTTTAGTCGAACGGTCCTTGAGTTTTTTCGGCAACAGTTTGTACGGTAAATGCGTCTTGATAAATCTCGGAGATTCCAATTTGTCGATGTATTCTATGGAATCAGATACGTACAACGGTAGTTTGAGGTCCGGTTTTTCTGGTAGAACTTTTTCGTAATCGAAAAGCGGCGTGTGACTGTAATATAAAGTTAATTATCAATACAGATAGGTATTAAACTGCAACCGCATTCGTATTTTAACGAACGTATGAATACTTAATATTTTAAAATCATTACTCTAAAAATGGAAAGCGCTCCGGAAGAAATTGTTTGGCTCCTTCAAAGTCCAAATCGTTTGCGATACACCATACCATTTCTTGAGTCCACGTTGTTCCTATACATAAAACACAATTGTTTTCAATTTTTTGTTTTCCCCACTCGGCCCGCGTCTTGTGTTCGTAAGTAACGAAAAGCACACGCGACGCCGACCACGTTAAAAAAAAAAAATCACAACGCAACAAAAGAATATACCTACGACTTTCTTTTTTTTTCACATATTATATTGTCATATTGATTAATGATGCGATATTATATTAATATTATTATTATTATTATCGTATAATAGCTTGTCAATCAACGCCTTACTGCGCCTATATATAATCTATGTGTAATGTGTATACTGTAATCTTCTATTCAACAATTCTACATGCAGCATCATATTATATAGATATAGGTACTTAGATTTTTTTTTCTTTATCCCAAAAATAAGTATAAATATAGATTATAGTTTTAAGTGAAAACTTCCCTTTAGTGAACATCCCGTAAAATCAGATAAAACTTATTGTTGTATATCAGTGGTTCCCAACTCAACAATTGGCACGGACCACTTTTATAAATTTTTCACCGTCACGGACCACTCCTTGATTTCAACCCCCCCCCTCTTTATATCACTTATTTTTTTTATAGTTTTATATATAGTTTATAATTTCTAGGTACAAAATAAAATCAGAAATACAGTTTATGTCGTGGAAAAATATTTTAACTTATTTATTTAAAAATTTAATTTAATAAAAAAAGCTGATACAAATTTAAATTTTACATTTTACGAACTTATATTAATTAACTTATTCAATGAGAAAAAAATATAACAAATTTATATTATATAAATAAATATAATACGAGTAAAATAATAATAGATAAAATACGAAACGAGTAGGTAATACCTACGTGATAATATTATCGACAAATTATGAGACATAACTAGTAATCGTTACCGTAATATAGTAGTATAGTGGAAAAACGCAGATAAATATTTATTACAATTCAGCTATACCCGCATGACCGAATGTTATTTATATCCGTACATAAATTGTCATCGGTCGCGATAGTGTGTTATCTGGCTGTTAGGCGCTAAGCCGTTAATAATAAAAATTATCAAGTTTAATTTCGCTCATTTTTTTAAATTTAAATTTTTTTTATTCGCGGACCACTTAAGATGAGTCCACGGACCACCAGTTGGGAACCACTGTTGTATATTATAAATTGGTTATAAATTCATAAGTAATTTAAAAATAAAAATATGAAAGTATAATTTATTAAATATGCGTAAAAACAACAAACTATGCAGAAAAAAAATTACAATTTTAATAAAAGTATACTAAATTTACGGAAAATATATTAAATGTATTAAATGTAGGTAATAAATATATTAAATGTAATTGTAAAAATATATGAATACGAATATAAAAACATTATTACGACCTGACGATTTTGATTTCGGATAATTTTTTTTAGATGATCAAAAAATAAAACAAGACGGGTTGTTAAAAAGCCGTATGAACGATGAAATACCCAAATATGTTTGAAATTATGTATAAATTAATGAAATATAGAAAATAAATTTGGCGTGATTTTAATAAAAATGATTTAAATCGTGAACATTTTTTATCAAACTATATTAATAATCTTATTCTAATAAAAATATTAATTTACTTATAATACCGTTCCAATAATTATAATTTATTATTACCACTATGAATTTAATGCACTAAAAACCTTTTAAAATAACATTTAATATGGAATTGCAACTTAAAAAAAGAGCTCACGCTAAGAACGGGTGCGGTCTCTATTGTAGGTGAATAGTTGGAAATGTGGGACACATACATTTATTTAATTTATACTTGTAACCAACGTTGAACCATTGATAACGAAAAACGATCGGAGCGAAGTTCAGTTATATATGTTTTAAAGGACCGTAATATTTACAATTTCCATCAAAATTTGATTATAAAATTCTTATAAAAAAAACTTCATAAAAATCAGTTTTTTTTTTACCACTAAGTTCAACTTATAATGTATTTCCTGTCAAATATTCAAGCATTTCTGTTTAGTCTAACAATTTTATCCACGGAGTACTACACTCTATAAATCGGAGCAAGAATTATTTTCAAAAAAGTTATTTACTGACAGAAATAAAAGAAAATTTAAACACGCATCATAGTAAAACCAATAGATCCCTCGCTACACTCCGAATCCAAAAGCAGCAACGTATACCACGAACATGCCTTTGGGCGTTTTAATGCTTAAATTTTAAAATTTGTTTGGAACAGTATACATTGAGCAGCTTATAATAATATTGTAAAAACGAAATGTAAACATAAATTTTCGTGAAATAATTTTTGAAATCCGTATATCGTCTTTCAGTCCAATTATAATTAAGAGTAGGCTTTATTTTTAGAGACATTTACGACTGCCCCCGTTTAATGTCATTATCGTTAGGAATTATAAGAAACGTAGATGTCATGTATCATTGTATCATATACTTCCTACTGTATGCTCAATTAACCCAAATTTCGCATATTCTAAAGCGCGTCAATACTACAATGAACTGGAATATATAGAAAACATTTTTTTTTTTTTATAGTTCCACTTTTAATTCTATTCCGTTCCCATTTGAACGTGATACGTATATATCAATTATATAGTATAACGAGATAATTTTAAATTTATTTTCATCGCCATTATTAAAGAAATAGATAATATACATATATAGAGAAGGATGTATACAAAATACAAGTATAATCCGGTAAAGTTAAATATTAGCGTAATCGTAATTTAATTATCATACCGCAAGGAAAAAGGGCTCAAATCAATTTTATCTTTTTCGGCTTATCTCTTTATTTTTTGGTATAAATGGCTAGAGTGTATAATTTACACGTATTGAAAACTATTTTAAATTGACTTAAGTCCACAGATAGTGAGACCAAATAAATGATTAGTAAACCTGTTTTCGGATAGCTGCAGACCCACACGTCGTCGTCTCTGATATCCATGTCTTGTATACGTTGTCCGAACTTTTTAAAGTAAACGGGCAACACGACGTCATTAGCTTTCAGGTATCCGTTCCGGAAGCTGGTGAGAAAACATTTGTTCAGGATATCCGACACTTCGCTGTCCACGTCGGTGTACGTTATGTCCGCCATGTTTACGCGGACAAGCACACGGTGATAATGTATAGCGATTGTATGCAACGCTCGGGAGTCTCAATCGACAGCCGCTCGAAAACGTTCTGACATCGCGTTTTTTTATACATCCACGGTGTGTAGACGAGGCGCGTGTGCTTTGGAGAGGGTATTCCATTATACTGCTAAATAATAATGGAAAAATACAAATTCCACAGTGTCATTGCGGAGATATCCCGCGTACCTATATATAGTATGTTTGCGCAGCTTGAGACAATTATTACTGAGAGATGTTCATCATAGACGTAAAGGTTTGTTCCAATGCCCACATTGTGTATTACACGGTCGCAAACGAAAAATAAAATGTCAGATCTCGATGAATTTTATAACTATATCTAAATAATAAGTCTGTACGTGAAAAAATTGGTATTACATACTCCGGGAATACTGTAATAAAGCGAATAACGGGGTAAAAAGCAATAGAATGTATACCCATTAACCACTTAGATTACTTATTACAGCCTACGACGGTGGGAAACAATTGACATAAAATATAAACTATGAAGTGTAGCAATAATATATCATTACAGATACCGAAAATCAATCGTAAAACACTATTAAAAATAATCAATTACATAATATAGTACATCTGTAGTCTCTCTGAAATTGTGATTTATATGCTAGTGGAAACAACGAAATTACCGAGTTTTTAGAGAAGTCAACCAATACTCGATTGCATTATTATTGTAAATATATATGATTATGTTTACAACCTAGATTATATAACAGAAAACAAAATAATTGTGTGTAACCGAAAACCACACGACCGGTTATTATTTTTTGTTGCGGTTAACTTTCAAGGTCGAATCGTAAATTAATAATAACTTATCTTTTGCGTTAGAACATATAGGTATTTAAAAAATAAAATATATAATTCTTTCGTTCTTCGATTTTGAACTTTCGTTTATTGTTTTGCTGAACGGATTGGATGACCCAAGGCCGTTATTAGTCCACCGTTATAATATTGACCCTATTTTTGTATTAATTTTTTTTTTATTTTGAATTCTTAAAAGCACATATACACAAAAATATACTCTTATTAAATAAATTCCTGTAACTTTACATGCATTCATAAATAATTAAAAATAATAATAATAATAAATATTCTTTAATTCAATAATTAAATTGTAAACATTTTGTTTAATTTCGGAGGAAATTACGAAAATTAGAAAAGTATAAGTTACATTTAAATATAATATACCGTTAATGATTGCATACGTATACGATTTTACATTGTATTAAACGTAAATAAACCTACGTTTTCTCTTCTGGCTTGCATTTGTATATATCTATTGTGAAAACTTAATATATTGCAAATCACAAAAACAAAATAACTAATAAATACCTTCATGATAAAATTAAAAAATGATAATTTTGATTTCACTGACTCGACAATTGTATTGAGAGATAAAAACACACAAAAATATACACACACCCTTGCATATATCTAAGTGAAATAGGGATCCCATAAGTTCCATATTATACAAAATTGGCCCGTATTTGAGATAAGCGTCCCGGTGTCCCGACTAAATGTTCCAAACAACACTTTTGTTCCGAATTTCAAATCCTTCATTTCGTATGTCCTTAAGTTTCCTTATTTCTTAGATTAAATAATTTAAATTAGCGTTTTATCATGGGATTGAGTAGTAAATATCATTGTAGAAGTGTAGACAAATTACATTTTTAAATTATGTTGACTCATTAATATGTTAGTTTGATTACAACATTATTTTTCTTAAAATGTTGGTTTTAAATAAATAAATTTTGAATTACGGGCGCAACCGCAAAATACATATGTATTTTATCAAAAACCAAATAAAATAAATATGCATTCAAAAAAAAAAAAGGTGTATGAACTTACTGCGTATGTGTGAAATTTCCGGTAACGAAATTATGGGAATACAAATTTCTTCAACTTCATTTTTTTTGCACGGTTTCTTAGATTAGAAAAAAAACAACAGAAAAATAATTCCTAGTTACATGGTTACAATTATCTATACATCTATACTATTATATAAAATTGTAAGGGGTTTTCTACGATCGCGCTAACCGAGAAAACTACTGGACCGATTTGGCTGAAATTTTTTTTGGCTGAAACCCGACACTCTGCTGAAGGTTATAGTACCACTTTTGTCAGTAAAAAAGTTCATAAAAGTTCATAAAAAATTAAAAACAATTGTACCTATATTGTGCGGCACGGCGGGTCGCGGGTTTACAGCTACCTGTAACTTGACCTTTTTTTTGTATCGTGTTTGATATCGGCGTTCCGAGAAGTATATCGCACTTACACCGACAACACGTATACCCAATATTCATATCTATACTATATTGTTATAATTATAACTTCGTTATATTAACTAATCATTTAGGCTAGGTTCACATGGACGATGGACGCGCGTGTTTAGATATACGGATTTCTCGATCGAGAACTACGCGTGACTCCGCGTGTTGAATCCCATAAATCATTATCGGACCTTCCGGTTGACACGCGCGTTNTTTGGCTGAAATTTTTTACCGTTGTACCCGACACTCTGCTGAAGGTTTTAGTACCACTTTTGTCAATAAAAAATAAGTATAAAGTTCTTGAAAAATTAAAAAATTGTCTACCCATATTATATACGCATTGTGCGGCACGGCGGCCCGCGGGTTTACAGCTACCCGCGACCTGACCTTTTTGTTCGTCAAATTGTATCGTGTTTGACATCGGCGTGTAGGTACGAATTGTTCCGAGAAGTTTATCGCACGCACACCAAACAACATGTATACCGAATATTCGTATTAATCTTTATCTATATCTTTATATATTTATATCTACAATAATTTCTCAATTCTCCTTCTCCTTCGGGATTTCCTCTCCATAAGCTAAAATTAAAAATTGGTACTCCGATTACATTATTACGTAATCTTCAACCACCGAAGTTATGTAACGGTACAAGATGACAAATAAAATCGTTGCAGAATAGTGTTATAGGAGCCGTCATTCTTACGGGGCCGGCAAAAGGAGAAATTGCATTTATTCCAAGAATTCCCGTGATTCCGTCGGACTTGCCGTTTCCGTTCAAACGGTTTTAATTCTCTGTTAAAGTTTCTTTGGCAATCACGATACACAAAGCTCAAGGTCGAACATACAGGTACGTTGGCGTAGGTCTTCGAACACAGTGCTTTTCACATGGACAATTATACGTGAGATTTTCTCGAACTGGGGACCCGAAGCATCTTATGATTTTAATTTCAACAGGAGATAAAACAAAAAACGCCATATACTCAGAAGTTTTATAAAATTCTTTATCAACCGTAAATTACTCAGCATTTCTTTTGTATCTGCATTCATTTTTAGTAAAAATATATTTGTCATTAATCCCGCTTGAAACATTTCAATACGTTTTCATTAACCGTTTTTTTTTTTTTTTATATTAATTTGCCGATATTATTAAACGATAGAATTTGATTAAAAAGTTCTATATATCATTATCCAAAGGCAAATTAAACAACCAATCACGGGTGAAGCCGTGACGGGTCGGCTAGTTTTTTTAAATATTAATACATACGGATAAGCAGAATCCCATTTTGAAGTTTAAAACATAGTGAGAGTTATATTATTATTAATATTTTTTGGACTTGTGTTTATTTGTGAATTAAATTTTATCTACATTGCTACCTTGACAAATAGGTATATATACTTACAACAACGACGATCAGGTTACAATATTTTATGTGCAAAGTGCAGTCCAACGTCTAGAGACCAAAACGAACATTTTACTAGCCACATGGTACGCGACAAATATAAAATATGTATCTTCGTAGGCGGCTACCGGCGATACATACAATATATTTGAATTAGTTGCACGATTAGTGATTGTGATAAAATTGTACATGGAGTTATTTCGCTAACATTACTCACACCACAAACAGTCATATATAACCTTACATGTTTAATTATCGGGAGTTTAAATTTGAGACATTTTTAAGCTAATAATAAACATTTAAATTTTGACGTTTTTTCACTTGCATGATAAGGGGATCGCATTACGGTTACATTTGATAACACTGTTAACCACGAATTTAATTTATATGGTAACATTGGTAACGCCTTGTGTGGCATAATTATTTTCCATTTTTGCCGTAGAACGCGCCTAAGAACTTCAGTCATCGCATGGGGCAGCGGTGCTAATTCCACGGCGGCATTTTGAACATCGCACGGGGTGACGGTGGTAATTCAACGGCGGCATCTTAATATATAATATATAACATTAATGTATGAAAATAATCTAATAACACTAATCTATTTAGTGACCATTTAAGAAATATGAGTACAATTAAAATATGATTTTACGAATTTAGGACATCAATATAGATAATTTTTCTAATAATTTAACTAATTTAAATTGAAGTAATTAAGGTATAATTTTGAGATATTCATAACAAATTAACATAAGGGTTTATTGGATTGTAAATATTAAAAAAGAAACACATTGTACTGATGTAAATTAAAGAAAATATTGTAGAATGAACACAAAATACCCAATGATGTAATTTTCACGATAATAAAATTTGATATTAATTTTTTTTTGTCATGTAAATTGTATTACTTAAAAGCATAAGTTGATTTATAAACTTAAAACAATGTCAGTACTTATTACAAATGAAGGATAGACTATATATAACAGAATCCTCAATAAGAAATCTTATTTTATATAAACATATCAACATGTTTGAATCCACATTTTTTTTAGTTATATATATAGGATTGGATCTATGATCATAATTTAAAATCAAATGAATAAAGAAATAATTTTACACAAAATACTATATAAGAGAAGTCCTAATCAATATATTTTACGTATAATACTTATATACCTGTAAAATATTATTGGTTAATAGTTATTAGCTAGTATTTAGTACATTTACTTGCAATAATATGATTATACAGTAATAATGTCTTATTATATTTATATATTTGTATAATTCTATGTAATATTTATTTTTCTATCAGTATTTCACTATATACTTAGTGTTCAGCACTATTTTTTTTACAAAAAGTATGCATAAAATCAATAATTTTGTGATAATTGTCCTAATTTCTTTCATAATTTAATTCGAATACATATCATTAAACATATCCTAGGTATTATTAGTTATAGATACTAAATATATTAAAAAGCTACTATTTATTTATTTTAGAAAATAATCTAAAAAATCTAATCTATATAGAGACAATTTGAGAAATATGAGTAATATTTTCTTAAAATATGATTGTTATGATTTTAGGATATTATCGTGAATATGATTAATTGATGCATGATGCATCGATAATCTTTTTCGTCACATTGCACAAGCATAATATGTTAACTATTTGACTGCATATTAATTATTTAATAAGTAGTTTATAATACGATTATGTGTAACTGTATACTGTCGTGATAGGAAGAATAAACACAACTTATTATTATTATTACAAGAAAATGTATTTTAAAAATTAAACCAACAAACGTGTGGAATGATTGGGGGGGGACTGGAGGGATTAGCTGCCTCTTCTATAAGAACCATAGCCATCTGCCTGATGCAATACACTTACAACCTAAATTCACAAATGAAGGCTCCGGGGAGATTATTTTCCCCAAAAAACAATATATAGTTATTCTGGTAATATCATAGGAAAAGCCCCAGAGAAGTAAATTTTTTTTTTAATCCAAGTCTGAAAATTTAGAATAATTTGTTTCCAAAATTGTCTAAATAAAATTCATTATATCTTGTTACTAATACGTTTAAAACATTCCCCGTTAAAATGTGTATAAGTTTTGTATGTGTATTATATTGATTTGAACTATTGTGTGTCAGAAAATTTCATTTTATATTTCTCGTTTGAAACGAAGTATTATTTCCAACATTATTATGTTTTACAGCCGCCATTTTCAGGCGTATTTTCTCGTTTAAATTATTATAACAAATCGCGTTATTTTGTAATTTCATTTCTCGTTAACTCGATGCGGTCGCAGACGTCATCGATAACTGCTAATAACTGGCTTTTCCCTTTATTAAAATACTTTAATTGAATTCTCTGTGTCCGTTACTTATATTGTCTATATTTCCCTTTTATTTATAACCGTTGTCGAAGGGAGTTGTCGTCGTTGGAACGCGACGGTATATTATTTTATCTGTATCATTTCAATTGTTAGTTTGAAATTTATTTCGTTATCTATGGAATCAAATTTATTTCTTTGTCCCAGCTCATTGTAGCTTCTATTCCCCAGACCTGAGAGTCTTGCTTTTGAGCACATACATATTTTCCCTTTTATTTAGCACCGCGTGTGCGGGTCGATAGCTGCCCGTTGCGGAGATTCAACGTGATATTTGGTAGCAGTTGGTAGTTTAAAGGTCGGCGGTTTGAGCATGGCACTCGCTTGGATAGGAGTCCCGAGCCCCCGAGCCCATTTATATATTTCCTCGTTGGGTAATATTTTTTTTTTTTTTGACGATTCGTTTGTGAGCATGGTACGTTTTATAATTATCCGTTGTTGTGGTCCGGATAGATTTTATTTTGTTGTTGCTAAGGCTATGGTAATGACCGTCGGCCCCCGTTATATTTTATTTGGGTATTTTCGTTACATTTCCCAAGGCCGAGTCCCATTGAAATTTAAAAATTGCTGTAAAATCGTTAAAATGTCACAGGCAAAATATTTCTATGACACATATTTGTCAGTCTGTATTATACCGTACTGTAGTTATATTATATTTCGTTTTAATCCCGCGATGGGACATACCCGTTTATTAAATCCTCGTTATATTATAGATTCTCCATATTAAATTCATAAGATTAAAATTCCCCGTAGTAATTACGTTCATATCAGAATACGTTGAATACGCCGAGTGACTTCGTCGGCCGAGTATTATTATTGTGATGAAATTATCGTTTTCCCGAAACGATACTGCTGCCCACATTTCATTATTAGATATTGTTTTGTCGCGACGCGATAACGTCCGACGTGATCCAGTCGGCGGGCGAGTGCGTGTTTCCACATCGACTCCGTGAAGCAAAGGTCTTGACCATTCTAAAAATAGAACATAGGGAATAACGTTGCATACGCACATTGATAAGACAAAAACAACACGAAAACATTTTTGCTTTTAACACCATCAGTCACGACTAATACTGTCTGAAGTGTTTACATTTTTCTCTAGTCATAATTAGTCATGGTATAATCTGTTTCACGAGATAAACGGGCCGCTTGTGCGCACGTTTACCCCTCCACATAACTTGATTTCAGCGAAGGCAGCCGATTGTCATTTCTTCCGTCGTCGGTTTTTGACTATACACCGTCAGGATATTTTGTAGAAATTCAATTGTTAGTGTTATCAGACACCGCGCATCGCACGTTTTTTTACCTTTGCTGTTTTATAACCTGTTGATAATTTTTCAAATCGTATTTACAAGCACCTTCTATAATAATCCAGACTTTGTTTTTTTNAATAAATAATTATATTAAAACATTTCATTTTTTTTTCGTTAAAATTACAATTTATCATTTTTGTCATATTTACATTTTATTTTATGTTTGATAAAATTACAAATGTATAATACTAATTATTCGTCATATTTACATAATTTTTTTTTCATTCCGTTGTCCTCTCTTGTTCTGGTTCCTACTCAGATTCTGACGATAATGTCTCACCCGTTATTGTCATCACAGTTGCATTGTAATTTTCCATCACCTCTTCTACTACGAAATCGATCTCCCAAAATTTGTCCTCAACCTTTTTGGTATGTCTGACAAAATTTGACCACATCTCCGGAGTGCACTTTTCAACACCCTCTCGAAGAAGTTTTTCAACGTCCGGAATTTTAAAAGATTTATTGTTGATTTTCACGTTATTTTTTACAAAAGCCCATGCCAATTTAATTGGATTCAGTTCGCAGTGGTAGGGGGTACACGTAAAACAATCATATTTTTTGATTTAACATACTCACTCGTCAATTATGTTTTTGTCAAACTGTGGTTTAATTTTCGTAACCAATTCCATAAGCCGAACTTTAATTATTGGTCTATCAAAGGCTTGACCTTTATCTTCCAACCACTTTTCAATATCTGCTTTCTTCCAACTGATATTTGGAATATTTTCACATTTAACAGAATGATAGGNTAGTCCATTACGATGACACTGCCTTCCTTCAATAATGGAACAACGGTTTTAATCCAATCGAAAAAGGTATCGCCATTAATTTCGTCATGGTAGTCCATTGTATTTTTTTTTGAACGAAAACACAATAGACCACCTGGAACGAAACCTTCTTCCGAACCAATATGAACAACAATCAATCTACTACCTTTACCGCTTGGGTTAGCAGCACCAGTGGAGAGACCTTTCAAAAATGATTTGACAGTTGTATCTTGCCATGTTTTATTTATACACTCTCCCGCATTGACCCAAGTCTCGGCTAAATAATATATTGACCGGCCTTCCTTTCGGAATTTACGAATTTGTTCCAGGTAACGATTCCTCCAACTAACAATGTCGTCCCTTTCGATCAGAGCACTGTTTCGCCCTCTCTTTGCATCAACAAAATTCATTTCTTTAAGAAGTCGGTGAAGTGTGCTTCGTGAATAATTTCCTAGGCCTGAATCATCATTTATGGTCTTCAAAATTTTGTCAATCGTAGGCACCTCACGTCAAAACCAAAAACTATAAACTTTTTGGCGTACAACGTCTTTCTCAAAATCATCAGTTTTGTGTATGATAGACAGTCGGATCTTTTTTTTGTTAGGGGATTTTATTATACCTTCAGTTTTGTAGTCGCAAATTGTCGAATTGACAGTATTTTTTCCTACACCAGTTTGTGATGAGATCATCAATGCCACTTCNTCGCACGTTTATTTACCTTTGCTGTTTTATAACCTCTTGATAATTTTTCAAATCGTAAACTATCGAATATACAAGCACCTTCTATAATAATCCAGACTTTGTTTTTTTTGTATACATATTTATTTATTTAATATTTAATTGAACACTGTAGGTATAATACAGAGTTATATATTTAATAAATAATAAATAATTAAATTAAAACATTACTTTTTTTTTTTTTCGTTAAAATTACAATTTATCATTTTTGTCATATTTACATTTTATTTTATTTTTAATAAAATTACAAATTTATAATACTAATTATTCGTCTTATTAACATCATTTTTTTAAAATAATTAAAAAAACGGAGAAAAAAGTAAAAATTACCAAACGGTAGAAAAATGTAAACGCTGTAAAAATAACGTGTGCGTACACCACGGCAATTGGCGATAAACAGTGGACTATCGACAGTCAACAGTGAAACGCAGTGTACAACACCTGCACCATTTCTGCGGTCGCCGTTGCAGCGCTGTCGTTAGATCCGGGAGGGGATAAATGGATAGTGTTACGGCGTGGGGATGCGCAGTAGCGTTTCGATTTGGTCGGAGAGCGGCCCGTTATCTCGTGAAACAGACTATTAAACTAAGTTAAACGGAGTTCTCGGCCAATCGCATTTAAGTCAACCGTTCCCCACGTCCCCTATCCGACGTACACCCGACGAGGCGGAACTCGACCGGAGCTTGCCTTGACTTAGTCCAACAACGCACAACGCTCGACACCAAATGTGAATCGTCTCCTCTTTTTCAAAACGTTGCGACTCAACACGACATGTCCGAGTAGTCATCTCAAGTCCCCACCATGAACCCTCTCGGTTCGGAAAGCGTGAGTAAAAATATTTATTATTGGCCTTGGCGGGCAATTTCCGTTAATTTTTTTTCTTCATTAAATTATATCTATACATTAATATTAACCGATAATGAAATAATGAATTATATTATGATTAATAATTTGTAACAAGCCAGTCCTGTTTTGCAAATTTTGCTCGTTTGGTAATTTAACGAAAATGCTTATGTGACGGGGATGTCATTTTTTTTCATTTTCTTTATAGGTTTCTTAATGAGACAAAATAAGAAAAATGTTAAAAACAGCGGTCTATGTTATTTTAATGAATTTATTGAAATGTTTAGTGGTACTTATACTACTTAGCTCTGTCTAAACGTGGTCGAATTTTCTGAAAATTCTGTCGATTTTTAAGTTATTTAGTAATTTGAAATGTTTGATTTTCTTTGGTAATAATTGATTGAATGTAGATACTTTTTTTTTAAACAATTAAAACGCTCGACAACTGAACATGAGATTAAAAACACTTATTTGGTCAGAATAAATACTTCAAACCATTTTCATCGTATTACACCTTTAAAATATGAGCATTTTTCGATCAGCGGTACTTTATTTGGAAGCATTTTCTATTGAATTCCAATATAAAAAATGATGATACGTCGATTTTATTTCCTCTGATTTCTAGATTTCTTGTCTGTGAAGGGAAAAAACATGACTAATACTAAGGTATTATATAATTTTGACTGTTTACCGATGTGACTTAGAATACTTTTTTAATTGTAATGATTTATCGTTTGCTATCGGTGTAGGTTTTGGTGTAAATTTCCCTATATACCCAATATTATTCTTTCCCACGTTGCCTACTATAACATAATGGTAGCCTAACTATCCGGTGCGAAGTATGTGCCTGGGTTTTTTTTTTAAGTATAATAGATAAGCCGGTATTTTAGTTTTAAATTAATTTTGATTTTACTTTTTATCCTTGAACGAAATATACTATATTTAATTATTTTTTTTTTTTTTAATTTCAACTTAAAATAATAAATTTTGATATTAATTTTTGTTGTCATATAAATTTTATTACTTAAAAGCATAAGTTGATTTATAAACTTAGAAATCTTGTTTAATGAAAACATATTAATATGTTTGAACCAACAATTGTTTATGTAAGACATACAAGATTGGATCTATGAACTTGATTTTAAGTCAAATGAATAAATGAATATTTATACACATAAATCAAAAAAAAAAAAAATTGTCCTAATTGATGTACTTAGCATTTAATATTTATATAATATCACTATAATATGGCTTAATAATTATTGATTAATATTTTTACAGATATTTTCAATTACATGATTATAATGTAATAATATCTTAATATATTTATATATGTATCCAATTATGTATAATATTTATTTTCCTATCAGTATTTAACTATAAACTTAGTGTCCAGAATTGCGTATTCATAGAAATTAATGTACAAGATCAATGGGTTTATGATAATTGACTTAATTTCTCTAATAATTTTAGTTTGAATACATCTCATTAAACATATACTAAATATCATTAGTTATAGATACTAAATGTATAGTAAAATGCAGATTAATTGATACAACACATAAATATATACACATTAAATACAATAAAAAATTATGAAAGCATAAAAATATCATTCAAAACAAATATATGTGTGCTGATTACCAGTTTTATGTACATAAGATGGATTATTTAATGTTTTTTTCCCAGTATATAATATTTATGTATAAAAATAATCTAAAAAGACTAACCCAATTAGAGACCATTTGAGAAACACGAGTAAAATTTCCTTAAAAAGAGATTAATATGATTTTAGTACATTGTAATCAGGATTTTTCTATATATTTAGTATCTTTATCTAATGATACCTAGAATATGATTAATGAGATGTATTTAAACTAAATGTTTGAAGAATTTAGGATAATTATCACAAAATCATTGATCCTATACATCATTTTTGTGAAAAAATAAATCTGAACACTTAAATTGTATTTAAAAATTGATAGGTAAATAATATAATATGTCATTATTTCAGTATTATTATTATTTTTCATATTATTGGATATAAATGTAACATTACTAGCTAATAATTATTAAACAATATTATTTTACTGGTATATAAGTGAATATATATTATATGTGAAATTCATCAATTAGGACACCTATTATATATCTATTATACGTATATTATCTTCCATTTGTATCATTAATTTTATATTAATATAGATTCAATCTGATATGTATAATTATTTAGTTATGCTATGGGTTCAAACATATTTATATGTTGATATTAAACAAGAATTCCTATTGATGATTCTGTTGATATAGTATATCAATCATTTGTAATAAGTACTAATATTGTTCTATGTTAATAAATCAACTTATGCTTTTAAGTAATACAATTTACATGACAAAAAAATTTACATCAAATTTTATTATTGTGAAAATTACACTTATGGGTATTTTTTTTCATTCCACAATATTTTTCTTAATTTACATCAGTAAAATGTTTTTTTTTAATATTTGCTATTTAATAACTCTCAATGTCAATTTAATATGAAAAACTCAAAATGATACCTTAATTATTTCAATTTACATTAGTTAAGTTGTTGTAGAAATGATTAATACAATGTCCTAAATTCATATAATCATATTTTAAGAAAATTGTACACAAATTTCTCAAATAGTCTCTAAAGTTTGAGTGTTTTTAGATTATTTTTTTACATATACATTATAAATTGGATGAAAAACATTGAAATATATACCTTCCACTCCTAAAACTAATCATCCATAGTGTCAAATTTGTTTTAAATGATATTTTTATACATTCATTATTTCATATTGTGTTTAATGTGTATATATTTATGTGTCATATCAATTTATTAGCATTTTACTATATTTAGTGTCTATAACTAATGATACCTAGAATATGTTTATTGAGATTCATTCAAACTTAATTTTCAAAAAAATTACAACAATTTTTATTAAATCATTGATCATAACATAATTTCCATGATTAAATATTTATGGACTCTAAAATTATAGTTATATACTGATAAATAGTAAATATTTTATAAAATAAATTAAATAGATAAATATAATAATGCATTTTTACTGTATAATCATATTATTGCAAGTAAATGTAATTATACCAGCTAAAAATTATTAAACCATATTATATTACTGTTATATAAGTATTATATGAGAAATTCTTCAATTAGGACTTCTGTTAAATGGTATTATGAGTTCAAATATTCGTTTGATTTTGAATTAAGATTATAGATCCAATTTTGTAATTATTACTAACAAATGTATGGGTTCAAACATTTTTATATGTTAATATTAAATAATTAAACAAAGAAATATTTTATCTACATAATCTTTATTTAGAAATCTAGTTTAATTAGTTTATATTAACATATAAAAATGATTGAACCCATACATATTTTACAATTATCACAAAATCATTGATCTTATACATCATTTTTGTGAAAAAATAAATCTGAACACTTAAATTATATTTAAATGTGAAAATATAATATCCCATTATTTCAGTATTATTATTATTTTTCATATTGGATGTAAATGTAATATTACTAGCTAATAATTATTAAACAATATTATTTTACTGGTATATAAGTGAATGTATATTATATGTGAAATTCATCGATTAGGACATAGAAAATATCCCCGTCGACACTATTGATCACCTCAGCTAAATAAGGGAATTTCTCGGACACCACATTAACACATGAACCTGGCAAGAAGTGAGGCACTCTGAACCTGTAGTACCAAAAGATGAGATGATGCCCTGGGTGCTATTGGGCTTTTATGGTTGTGTCAGTTTCATAATTTTCCTAAGGAATGAATGACTGATATTTTATGTTCCGTCTGCTGGTATGTATCTTGGGCAGCAGCAGTTCTCAATATAGGAAATATAACAAATCGAACACGGTTTTCCTTGGGAAGGAAAATATTTTTGTACCTACACAACAAACAACGTAAATCAATAATATTAATTATTAGACTGTATTTAAATGAATCATATTATGAAATTTACCATTGTTATTATGACAATATGTACAATATGACAATTCTTGTGAATTATTCAATTTTGTTAATATTAAAATAAATTGTTGCATAATGTATTGCCTATAACTGCGCAATTTACGGCGATTTCGTCGATTATTCCATTTTTTTTCTCATGCATTTAGCTAAGTTTTGTTAATGCTTCGATATTTATTGAGTTTGTCGATTTTTTATTAGATGCATTAGAGAGAGGGCATCCTCTCTCTCCCCGGATTTGAATTTTTTTGTAAGAACTACATAATTTACCCAGGTATAATTACCTAATCTCAGATATGTTATCATTATTTTGAATATATTATATTCATCCTATTTAGCAATTCATTATCCCAAAACCTTAAACAGAAATTTGTTTAAATTTGTTGTAAATTTACAACCTACCGAAATAAATTCTGGTTTCGCCATTGTTTAGATAACATCGAAAAGAATACCGAACAAACACATTTAATAAGTGAATTATTTTTTTGAGTTTTAACTGTGTAAGTAAATATTTATTTAATGAAGACAATTTTAATTGTAATATGAATATAAATCGATATATATATATATATTAAAGATATATTTTTTACGTGTATTTAATAATAATGTATATCGTTCCGGATCAGAAAGTTTTCCATTCCGAGCACTAAGCAAAAGTGAATACTTGTTTACAATTTATATCAATTAAACCTTATTCCCTTTTGTTAACAAATGGGTTATTCAAGTATAAATAATCTTAACTTAGCTGTACATATTACCTTCAATAAACTTTACACTGAAAAAGAAAAATATTTTTTTCAATTCTTATAACAATTAAACTATATTAAAAAAAAAATAAAGGTGTTTTTTTACTTGTCTTATCGTAGATCATTGATGGATCATATACGCAGTGCGCCGTTA